GATATTGATTTCGCGAGTTCGCATTGTTTGCAAGTTCCCAATTATCGATTATGGGTTCATTGACGTCGATGTTTCGATGTTTGACATGTGTCAACATCGATGTTAAAACATCGAAGTTTTAATTTTTAACATCGATGATCATCTAACATCCCTATTTTAAGTGTGTTTCCCACTCAGCGTGTGTTATGCGACGATCGTAAATAAAGCGCAAGGTCAAACTTTACGCGTTGTAGGAGTGGACCCCAGTACTGATTGTTTTGCACATGGCCAACTCTATGCCAACCTTTTTCTGTACGCCCTGGCTAAGTCTACTTCTATCGTCGTTTACACGGAAGCTCTATCATAAACGACTTAGAACTTTGAGCGTATCGATTTATTTTGTTACCACTTATTCATACAGTAATGATATAAATCGTTTAATATTCTCTTACCCTAAACGTCAAATTCTTTAAGTAAAACCTATATTCGCGAGCTACGCCGCGGGCACAGCTAGTCATCCAATAAAGGATTTCTCATTTTGAAACTTAACAGTTCAAACCTCAAACTCCTATTCACTTAAAGGAAAAAGAAGGATTTTTGATTCGATTTGAAACGAGCGCAATACAATCGATTCTCGATTTAATTGAGCATTTTAATATCTATTTTTGATTATTTTTCTATGTTAACTAGGAAAGTAAAAATAATTACGAACATGTGTACAGAATAATAATAAAAAATACAAAATATCACAATTCCAACAAGTATTAGTAACAACAACAATTCAAGTAATCGATCTCAGATCGATATCCCTAATATTCCTTTACTTAGTTGTTTTTGTTTCAACTTTCGATAATCGTTTCACCATTTCGTTTCCTTATTAACCACAGCTATTTTTAGTGACTTAATAATGATCCTGCTTTTATATCTTTCAGTAATTATAGTAAAAAATATCCTGTTACAGTGTAATAACTGAAAAATCACCTGTTATAGTGTAGGTAATACATAATCTCACTTTTACTTATTCTACAATAACTCAGCTTCTAGATTGACAAATTGCCAGATTTTCAGCTATAAATTGCTTATATATACTGTTCGCTACGGCCTAACAACTTTAAGAAACAAAGTGATGAAAGAATATTATTTTGTATAAAAAGTGAAATTACCAAAAAAACCGAGTAAATAGTTTGTTAATATAGTTTTACAGCATGTTTATAACTCTTAATATATTTGTATAGAATGTCGTTTTGATAATAGTTAATAGAAACAACTTTAACTGTTTAAGAAAAAATCGACCAATCACAGCGCGTCGTATTGTAGAACTTTCTGGAAATTCAATCAACTGCGCAATAGTTTATACTAAAAATAATGAGAATATTTTTGTGTTCTAAAAGAGTTGTAAATATGACATTTAGTTAGTATATGGTATATAGATTACGAAAGTGAAGAAATAATTTGTATAATTAAACACATTTGATAGTTATAGAAAAATTAAAGAATTAATGTGCCCAAATATTATGAAAACTTGGGACATTTCGCTTAATAACTTCTTAATTTGTTAATATATTGAGTAATCTTTATCATATACTGATAAAGGACAAAAATACCGATTTAATGATGTATAGCATATTAGTGTAAGATTTAACCTTATATAGAAAATATTGCAATTTATGCTAATTATGTAATGAAAATTTCATGCAATAAATAAGAAAAGTGGAAAATGGCAAGCGGCTCACTATAAAGTATAGCCGAAGTCTACCTTATGGGCACGAGACCCAGCAACGTTGTAGTGTGAAGAACTACCAGTGGCAACCATCAGTAGTGTGAAGAACTACCAGTGACAAGCAGTAGTATCCGGTAGCAGCTGAAGTGACTAGCAGCAGTATATAGTGAATAATGAAAGTGTTAGCTAGCCGAAAAAAGTGGTAACTGAAAATTCGCAGTTACATAGTGAAAGCGATAGTTAATCGCAGAAAGTGGCAACTGTCACTCGCAGTTGTACAAGTGATAAAATCAGCTAGTTTTAGTTGATTAATAGCTGCTAGTCAGTAGTGTTAGAAAACCAGCTACTGCCAATAGATATTTTGATACTACCAATAGATATTTTAATACTACAGCACATTTTAATTACATCTTTTGAAATATATAGTGACCAACCGTATTCAACAACCGTGGTCAATAAATAATAGTTATAAAAATTCGCGACTAATCAATCAGTCGAACCGCTGGCCACTCCCTTGCTATTTGTATTTATAAATCGTGCATTTTAATTTTGAACCTCAGTCCACTGTTTTCCAGCAGCACACACAGAGACGGCAGTGGAAGTATCATCCGGAACCTATAGGTGTAGAACGGACTGCTACTCGCGGAGTATCTTCGACAACATTTACTCCGGAGAGTTACGCCCGTCCGGCACATATACGCTTTCAAATGGTCCTACTTTCATCTTGTTAACACCTGGGCCCAAGAATGTATGAAGACGTCTCCTTCTCCTTTGTTTAGTATTACGTTTTATTTAAAGAAGACATTAAGTTGGCAAAGTATACCTTAGGTCTGTACTTTTTTCTAGCGGTTCTAAAATTAAAAGAAGTATCTAGAATTACTTGACATGGTGTCCAAATACAGCAAAAGGTGGCCGTTCACATAACTCTATCTTCTCTATTTGTAAAACTAATAATACTATTTGTAAATATATATATATGGAAAATTAACAAGATATTTGCGTTCAGAAAAACATAAACGTCGCTAAATTTTATGTTGTGGACGCCTGCATATTTTATTCGACAGTTCTTGCAAAAATTATTAGTTAAAACGTTCTTATTGATTTATTCTTAAAGCATGATGTGCAAATGTTTCTGATATAAAAAAACAACGGATCGGAAGGGAGTAGCCATATGCGCTTCCCCTCTGTCAAAGTATAAGTCCACGCGGTCCTATGCGTACAATAAAACTAGACGCAGCTGCACTGCTCACTAAACCACAGAATAGATAATAATACAAGTAACTAGACTAAATCTATCTATCTAGACTATATTTATAGTACGTGAGGGTAATGAATGAATGAATGAATGAATATACTTTTATTGTACACCACGAACAAATTTACAAATGACATAACAAAAATCAGATTATAATATGTACAATTTGGCGGCCTTATCGCTACATAGCGATCTCTTCCAGGCAACCAAAGGTTTAAATTAATACAAACAATGAATAGGTAGGTGGTAGGTGGTGCAATATAAATATACAAATAATAAATGCAAAAAAAAAAGATATAAGTAACTAAGTAATACATGAAATAATATAAATTACTAACACATAATAAAAGATAAAGGAAAACATATAATATACACATATATATATATATAAACATATATACATAAATATACACACAACACATATATATCAATATACATATATATATATATATATATATATATATATATATATATATATATATATATATATATATATATATATATATACAAAATTCCTCAAACAACAATATAAGGCCGATAGATACAATAAATACATAATCACACAATCTATCCTAACTGTGTTCGAACGACTGAGACAAGTAATGCTCTTTAAGTAACCGCTTAAAGATAATAATAGTTTGTGCCTCACGTATATGTAGAGGTAGGGCATTCCAGAGCTTAATAGACTGGACAGTAAAATATTTATTGAAAAATGATGTATTGTGAGTTGGCACACTTAAAATGAATTTTCTAGAAGAGCGTAAAGGTTCCCCCGGAAGCCCCACAAAATTAAACTTCTCCTTTAGATAGGGAGGAGTAGAAGGGTGAAATAATACACAGTACAGAATAGAAAGTATATGCATGTTCCGGCGAAGTCGGATAGGTAACCACTTGAGACGTGAGCGAAATTGGGAAATATGGTCAAATTTGCGCAATCCAAATATGAACCGAATACTAGTATTTTGAAGTCTCTCAAGCTTATTTAGCTGGTCCTCAGTTATGTCTACATAGCTTGCGTCAGCATAGTCGAGAATCGGAAGGAGAAGAGACTGTGCGAGCATAATTTTTGTAGGAATGGGAAGAAATGATCGAAGGCGACGCAGTGAACAAAGAGCGACAAAAGTTTTCTTACTTACCTCATTCAGTTGGCGTATCCAATTTAAGGAATTATCCATATAAATACCAAGATGGTCTTCCGGTTAATATAGTCAAATTCTTATAACTCAAAAACTAGAGTCTAGTTTGAATGGATGGCTCTGTGGTACGATAACTCTTCATCAGTCAACCAAATAATAAAGGGACAAAAGGACGGTGCTTTGTCGACAACATTTTGACAGTTGACTTTAAAGTGTATATTTTAGTCGATTTTAGTATTGTGTAGTGTAGTTAATTTTTTTAAGTCAATTTTCGAAGTGTTCCTAATTATTGTCAAAGCTTGTTTGCTATTTTTTTTTTCTTAGCGGCTGAATTGACGTCCTACAATGCGCGGCCGAATTGTTCAGTTTTTTGCTGGAAAATTAGATCTACCACGACCAATTTACAAAAAGATGGTGTTACCTATATAAGTTTAATAATTTTTAATCACATTATTAGTATTAACTTCTTTTTAAACTTAAAAATTATAATAATAACGGTCGTGTTGTTTCGGATTTGTTTACCAACACAGGTCGCTCGCACTCATACAATTTGCAGATTAGTCGAGCGACTGATCAAAGTCTGTATCCGACTTGGCTGTCACCGAGCGATACTGTTATAACGTAACCATGTGTTTGAAATTGTTAATTTATTGTTTTAATTGTTATGTGTGAGTTTCGTAGTGACAGACGATTGTTTATATGTGCGCAGATTTACCCCCGCATAAAATGACATTCAGTTCTGTATCTGGGGAAAACGCTTGGGCTACTCCATTTATTTATCTATGGGCTACTCCCCTCCTGTCCCTCAGAGGTCAGTGTTGCTCTAGTACCTACGAACGTTAAATTAAACTAGGCTGTATATTGGAATACATTTTCGTTCAACTTTTAAATAATTAAAAAAAAATAAACCATGGCGGGAGTTCAGAAAGTCCGTTTAAATAATTTAAATATTAACATAAAAAATGCTTTAATTATAGGTATTATTATAGCAAAAAACAGTCCTAGAATAATTGGCAACAAAAAGAAAAACGGAGATTCAAGAGGTGTAATGTCATTCACGTTAAGAGATTCTGATGTTGATACCATTAATGTTGATGTGTGGGGTTCGGAGTATTTTGTAATTACATTTTATGAAAGATTTCTTGTGGGCGATGTTGGTAGTGTATTTTCTCGTATTTTATTGATTTTATCTTATTAATTATGTAACAAAACATGAAAATAATAAAAATTAAAACAAAATGTAATAATTGACGAAAACGAACTTAATATTTCAGTTGAAATATCGTCGCCAAAAATATGCATTAAAAGCGGCGAAAATGAAACATTTCGGCCACAGGTTAGTACCTACTTATTTATTTTCGAGATCATTTAGGATATATACCTACACCCATATGCCAAAATGTAATAGTATATTATGTGCTTGGCCAAACTGAAAGTGTGGAGCGGTGCAGGTTGCGATGCCGACATACGTAGTGATTTTTAAATTCCTTGGCGCGGTAAAGCGCGTGTCGTAACAATCCACAGTGACAGCCCGGATTTCACACGAATAACTGTGAGTCCAATGCGAATTACAAACTATGAACGATGAGAATTTATTTTTGTACTAACTACTACAATAACTTAAGGTTCACAATTCCCATCATCATCGGAGCACGTTTCATCGTTTCTACTTATATTCGCAATTTGCAAACATTTAATAAACAAAATTGCACCAAATTTGCATATCAAAAGTACATTTACAATGCTAATTTAATATGTTATATTTTAAGGGAAAGGCCGTACTTTTACACTGAAAATATGTCAAGCACTTTAGGTGCTACAATTGTTTTGTGATACGCGTGGTACACCCATACGACCATCAAATCTAATTTTCGGACCTTGATGTTTTAATCTATTCCGTTGGTTACATTTTGCAAATGAACTTGGTGTACCTATTCGTGACGTAATTTTTACAAGTTGAGCGTGTTTTCGGCGTCATTTGAAATGTACGTAGTGTTCTGTGTAGCTTTCTTTTACAAAATGATCACACACCAACAAAGGATCTGAGATCATCGTCGTAAAAGTTCACTACTAGACAGGGGTCTCTCCCGTTTTAGAAATATTTATTCGGAAGAGCATTGGTATAGAATGTATAGCAAGGATGTTTAAAAATACATGGTACTTAGTAATTAGAAAAGGTACCGTGGCTTATATGTTAAGAAGGCCTCAATAACTTTGGTATGGTCGTGATTTGGGACTGGTATTTTCTTGTAGGTTCATTGATCTGTCTTTTGCCATAAGTAATCTTTCCAATCTAATTTAATAAAAATTTGATTAAGTAGTATGCAATATGCTGAATATTTATTTTCATCTTTCAATTCGTCATACTCCTTCTACCCACGCAGTTTTGCATACTAGTAGATCGAACGCGAAGCGGAGATGTAGTGCTCTATTGTGACCAAATCAAAAAAATCGCGATCCACTCAAATTAAATTACTTCCACCAGCTTTGTATTGCACTTATATAATTAAAAGGTGCACCAATACAAGACGAGATTTCAATTAATACTTCTAACGTAGTTACTTATAAGATTATTTATTTCGATTATTATAAAAAAGAAAGTTAATTGAAAATAATTTCACTTGGACGGCAGTTGGTCGGTATGGATATGAACAAGATATCTTTCGAAAAACTGAACTTATCACTGTGATTTTTTTTATTAGCCTTAGATTTTAATCCATAGCAAGCCATTTGAATTGCACTATAATTGTAAACCGTCTCGTTCGAGGTGTGCACTTTTGGATTTTTGGACTTACAGTGCGAGTGAGATGGTTAGTAGCTAATGCAACCCCTTGTCACCTGTAGCCAACTTTATACAAATAAGGCAACAGATGCGTTATAACCTCAAAATAATAAGATGGAATGTCTCACAGAAATAAATATACCGGCTTTCTATACCTTCAGACCGGTACACGGCAGTGCAGTAGTACTACTAATTATATGTATATGCTATTTGGCGGCAGAAATAGGTAGGAGGGTGGTACGTAGCCAGACAGACTGCTAGGCAGATACGGTGGCCTACTACCTAGTAAAGTAGTTTTGAAGTTCTTAAGATAAGCCTCTAAAGACACCATGAGACAAAATCTGCAGCATCATCATCATCATTGCACGGGCCCACTGCTGAACATGGGCTTCTTTCTGCTTTTTTTGTAACTGTAATTACGTTATTTCTATAAAACTTATGTTGTTTGATTTATAAATTTGCATGATTATATACGAGTATAATTATACGGCCGTCGACGTCGTTATGCAAGCTGTATTTCACTTTCAACTGCACATTTAAATATTAAACAATCTCTCATATTATACAAAATATAAAGTAAACCCTTTTTTGCCTTGACATACACTTCACACACTATTGTATAAGGAACATCTGTGAGCATCTGAGCTCTAAATATCTATCTCTAGCTGATTCATTCAATCTGTCAGTAATTATTTGTTATGTTGTAGTTATATATGTCGCGGGTAGTCGGATTACTAAATTGGGTAGACAGTGATTTCATGGTATGTCGCCATTTCGTGATTTGGCCGATAAAATTTATTTCTCATATCACATTGTCGTATTTATACATTATATATGTAAATGTTCGCCGCATGGCGCGGCCCAAGGGCCACTACAATCTGCCACTGTTGCTTCGTATTTTTTAGTGCCTAGACTTCAAAAAGAAAGATTCGACTTTCAAACTCAGACTCAATTGTATGTTTTTGTATGTATGATACACGATTTATTCGTCAAATACGAACAAATTTTAATGTTTCTATTCTTTTTAAACGAAGAAGAAGGTTCTTCAGAGGTGGTTTTTGTTTTATTTATTTGTTTATAAAGCTTAAATGTAACATCTTAAAGTTAAGGGTACATAGTCTTAAGTACGTAGACTTAATGTCACGTGGCATTATCTGGGTGCCAAAGACAATTGTTGGCGGATGCGAAACATAATAAATTCTTTATGAAATTGAAGAAAAAATTCCTCTCTATACGATATTCTTGTTATTATCTTGAGCTTGTGATATTCCTTAAAGTAGGTTTCACTTAAAAAGGTAATTTTTTTATAACTTTTAATAAAAAGTAAAAGCCGACTATAGAAGTGGTTTAGTTTCTTTTTAGTTCTTCGGACAGCTTTTACGTTTTATACATGTTAAGTTATCGAAAAAACTTAACAGAAATCACAGCTATTGGCCAAATCATGAAATAACAGCGTAGGTATCATGAATTGTTCAGGCAGATCATGATCACGATACGACATAGGCGGCCCGGAGACAGTCAATCTAGGTCACGATCTGCGATCAAAATCAATGACCACGATCCAGATTGACTGTGCATGAAGTTGATTGAGAGATTGATATATCGGATCACAAAATATCTAGATATCTTGAAATCAAGATCGTGATCAACGGATCGCGATCAGGATTGAACGTATACGCATTGGATTGCGTCAGTCTCAATCAAAATATTTTCCCCCATCCTGAAGTTGTTTTTATAATCATCAGTTTCAACAGTTAGTTGAATTTCTTTAAGCAGATTTAAATGAGTGTACGATTATCTATTATTATAATTAACCACTGTTTAACCCAGCGCCATTTTCGTACCTTGTCTTCAAAATTAGGGCCTAAAAAAAGATACTACAACTTTAATTTTATGTAAATCCATGACAACAGATGTTAACACGGCGGTTACGATACACGAACTGAAGAAATCGAGATTGATAGTGTAATGTTGTAGCGCGATCCCGTGATCCATGATCGCGATCAGAGCTATACTATCTCGATCGAGATTGAATGTGTATGGGCTGCCATACAATGTACTTTACAATTTGCCTTCGGCATTTCACAAACCAGCGAGCGTTTGTAAGCAAACAGACGACGCCGTTTTTATATAGACAAATTATTAATCTGCCAATGGCATTTACCTTCATTATTTCATATATTAGATGTCGATTTCGTGTCACCATTTTCATAAAAAACGTAAAGTTAGCTGTAGCAAGGGGAGTGAGAGGCAGCATTTTACGCTACGTCACTAGTGACGCTGTTTATATCGTGATATCATGATCCCATGATCAATTGTTTTTATAGAATAAGAGTGACCAACGAGCACACAGTCCACCTGAAGTGTAACCGATAAGTGTTTGCTGCGGCCCATAGACATCTACATCTATCTTCGATTACGAATCAAAATGCAGATGCGTTGTCACCCGTGAGGACTAAGATGGAATGCCTCGTTTCCAGTAAAAAACGGTTTCCGGTTCTCTACACTCACCATACGAAACACAGCAGTGTTAAGCTGCTATTTTACGTTGGTATTCTGTGAGAGCGTGGTCCTTCCCCGGTCGAGCCGACCCATTCGTGCTACAATTATGCTACTATTATAGCTGCAGCATGGCTCTACCACGTAAAATATATCAATACCAATAGTAGTAGTTTTAAGGATTTTAAGGGCCTTTTCTAAAAGTTCCGGAAAATAGGAAATTCGACAAATTTGATACTCCAACACCGCCTTTTTTTTAAAAAAAGGTTTAAAGTAGTAAGGTTTACTACTTGAGTAAACCTTTCTACTTTAAACCTTTTTCTACTTTGGGTAGATAGGCGTAATCTATAATTTAATTTAAAAACGGTTAGTAAGTATGGCACACTCATATTTTTTGATGTTATTCAAGGTGTCTTCACCATTTTACCTCTCACTTAACGAAGGATCATCAGACGTCAGTATTTTCAGTGGAGACACATTTGGTGCGTATCTGCCTCTTCTTCATATTCCCAGCAAAGCCTCTGCGGGTTATTGTGGTCTCGCTGAAGTTATGAAATTTACCGGTTAGTATGTAAATTTATTTTATTTCGTTTTTTTTTATTACATACTAATTTTCAAACGACTTCAAAAAAGGAGAAGTTTCTCAAATCTTCGTATCTTTTTTATGTAAATTCACCGATTACTCAAAGATGCCTGAACCGATTTGGAAAATTCTGTTTTTGTTTCAAAGGGTATATATACCTAGTCAGGTCATAAGTATTGTCACACAGTAAAAACTTTTCTTTTAGAATGCTGGCCACAAAAAAGTTTATTGAATTCGAATTTCGAATTTTTCATGAAAATAAAACTGTATACTTTTTAGAATTTTACTAATTTCTAAATATGGAGTGGACGCTTAAAGAAGACCGTGTTGCAGTTATTGCGTTGCATCGCTGCGGTTACGCGCCAATTCAAATTTTTGACATACTGAAAAATTTGAATATAACCAAAAGATTCGTTTATCGTACCATCGAACGATACAATGAAGACTCTAGTGTAGATGACAGGTCAAGAAGTGGTCGCCCTTGGTCTGTTAGGACTCCAGCAGTGATAAAAGCCGTGAAGGCGCGAATTCAAAGAAATCCCAAACGTACGCAGAAACTGTTGGCCCTTCAGATGGGGTTAAGCAGAACCACGGTGAAAAGGGTGTTAAATGAAGACTTAGGGCTTCGGGCATATCGAAGAAAAACAGGACATCGTTTGAATGCTCGTCTAATGGACCTGAGACTGAAGAGATGCCGCGCTTTGTTGAAGCGGTACGCGGGAAAAAAATATCGGGAAATTCTTTTTTCGGATGAAAAAATTTTTACCGTAGAAGAGAGCTACAACAAACAAAATGATAAGGTATACGCACACAGTAGTGAAGAAGCGAGCAACCGTATTCCGCGTGTCCAACGAGGTCATTTTCCATCCTCGCTCATGGTATGGTTGGGAGTTTCTTATTGGGGCTTAACAGAGGTACATTTATGTGAGAAAGGTGTAAAAACGAATGCAGTTGTGTATCAAAATACAGTCCTGACGAACCTTGTGGGACCTGTTTCTCATAGTATGTTCAATAACAGGCACTGGGTATTCCGACAAGATTCGGCGCCAGCTCATAGAGCGAAGAGCACACAAGACTGACTGGCGGCGCGTGAAATCGACTTCATCCGGCACGACGACTGGCCCTCCTCCAGTCCAGATTTGAATCCGTTAGATTACAAGATATGGCAACACTTGGAGGAAAAGGCGTGCTCAAAGCCTCATCCCAATTTGGAGTCACTCAAGGCATCCTTGACTAAGCCGCCGATATTGACATGGACCTCGTTCGTGCTGCGATAGACGACTGACCGCGCAGATTGAAGGACTGTATTCAAAATCACGGAGGTCATTTTGAATAAACTTTAGTGTCATAAGAATCTATGTTTTGTTAAGTTCATTTTGGTATATAAATGGTTCCATAATGAATAAATTTGTTTCAATTATTTTATATTAAACATGTGACAGAATTTATGACCTGACTAGATACTTCCCAGGTGGTCCCATTTAAATTTTATAAGAAATCGGTCGAGGGGCTTTTAAAAAATCAACACTAAATTATATTCGTATTGAAGTTGTTTGTACAAAATTTTAAATTTACTACTTGTTATTTTAATTATTACTTAATAGCGTATTACAAATCTAATGTATTGTTACAGAAAGAAGTGACAACATTTATGTCGATTTACTAGTAGTTGTGAAATCCGTCCAACCAGCGAAGACAATAAAAACTAAAGCTGGTATACCTGTTACTTAACTTTTTATTGTATCTTGCGTAATTCTATTACAGAAATTGAAAAATAATCTCTTGCACATTTTGTCACATTAGGTGTTGATATGTCGGTACGTGGTGTTGAAATTGTGGACAACACTACTCCTGCGTCTCTCACATTGGACATATTTGATTTAGATACAATTCAAAGGTGAATGTAATTTTTATAAAACTCCTAACAAATAATTCAATTATTAAAGTTTCATAGCATTCATGTAGAGGATACCGATTAACTAGACAGTTGATTCACGTGATCAATTCCATTTATGGATAAATCAATTAATAATCAAGCAACTACATAAGGTATTGTGAAGTATGTTCATCATCATCATTACAGCCATTCACAAGTCTACTGCTGAACATAGGCCTCCGAAAGAATGCCACAAAGTACGGTCCTGAGCCACCTGCATCTTACTAAGTCGTCACTTCATCTAGTGGGGAGCCGCCCTACACTTCGCCTACCGGTACGAGGTCGCCACTCGAGAACCTTTCTTCCATATTCGTTGTCGGTTGTGAAGTATGTCTAAAATTGTTAACATCTTAAAGAGAAATTGATCAGCGAACATATTATAAAGGCGTCGATAACTAGAACTTTAGGACCACCAAGCGTGTGTGCATCACAATTTCTTCAGGCCTGTAGAATTTATTTGTTTATGCACTTTAGTAACTATTGAATGAATTTTGTTACAACAAAACACCCTGGACAAACAAATGGCAACCCATACGTGAAAACTAAAAATCTGCGTTTTTGCAAAAATATTGATTTTGGGTTTCGGTTTCAAACCCAAAACTCGCAACATAAGTATTAGCAGTCAGATACTTGAATCACAAAGGCACATGATAAATGACACCATGAATGTGAGTGTGAATTTGAACGGTAGGGCGGAAGAATGGCGTGCGTTGGAGAGCGTGCTGTTCATCGCGGACGCGCGCGTGGCGTGGCGCGGGCGCGTGCGCGTGCAGGCGGGCGCGCGCAGCGTCGTCACGCACCAGCCGCACACCTCCGACGCCGAGGCGCTCCGCCTCTACATACGCAACCAAGCCGGTATACGTGGCTTCACTTAATACTACGCTATTTTCCATATGGCGCCGGACAGGGAAGAACGTCGCCGAGCTACTTCATAAGGTGGATATTTGCCATAGTTGCCGCTAGGCAGGCGGGTTGGCAACATATCTGGTTTGTTTTCCTTTTCTTCCGTGTAGTGGCGTTGTAAAAATATCCACTACCCCATATCATCCCGTAGGTGTCGTAAGAGGCGATGGAGGGATAATGATAACAAAAATTTACATAAGCGCTAACGCACCCCCAAAACTAATAAAATGACACCAGTAGTTAGAATAATTTGATGGGCAAGAAGGTTTTCCTTGCCCGATCCTCCACTGTAAATTTGTTTAGTTTGCTTATAATCTAATCCATAACTGCGATACATTGGGACACAAGATATGACCATATATAATTATTATAAACAGGCGGAGGCGAGGCTGCTGCGTGGGCTGCTTGGAGCGGTGAACGCGCTTGCGCAGCATCCGTGGCACAAATCCGCGACCGCCTCGCGGCCGGAGCGCCATTCTGCGCTTCGCTCCATGCATTATTGACACATCTCAATTTAGACGACCTTGTTACCGCAACGTAAATTATGTGTTTTGTTATGTTTCCTTATTCTGTATAAACATGTAGGTACATAAAAACAATGCCACATCGTGTCGTTCGTCGTTGCGCCATGATCCTCCTCGGGAGAGGACAATTCCCGCTCCTATTTCTTTTCAGATATGGCGCGCCAATCCATCATTTTTTTAATAACTCGCTTTCTTATCTGCCTATTTGTCCGGTACAAATTTATTTTCCCAATGAGCTAAAGACAAAACCTTAAAAGCTCCGAACTCGATGATAAGCAAACAGACAAAAGAAAGCAAGTTAACATAGTATAATAAAAAAATTAAACAAATTAAGTGCAAAATTTCACAGAGAAGACAAAAGTAGAAAATACCTAATTATTTATATATAAAAAAAATACACCTACGTTTCAAACGGATGAAAACGTATATATAATAGTTTCTCCTAGCCCCATGCAACCCAGATTGTATACAATAATATTGTATATAATACAGATTGTCCTGATTGTAATCGTACATTTTTGATATCAATGAAATTACTTTAACGATTTAAAACGGAAAAAGCCTGGAGCATGCGATAGATAAATAGTAAGAGGGAAGGAAGTATTTGCCGTTGAAAAAGTTCAAACAACAATTCATTTCATTTGTAGTCCAAAAAAAAAAGTTTAGTGACTTAGCTGAACTATTCATTCATTTATTAACTATCAATGGAATTAGGAGTCTGTAAAGGCTTATAAATCTCTATTCAATTGGTATTAGCTTCTACTATATGTACATATATTAACTGATGGATGATGGTTCTAAAAACAGAATGTTTAGTACGTCTTATTTTATGGCATAAGGTTAGATGACACACTGACAAGCTTTTTTTTATGTTAGGGATATAAATTTAGAAGAGTTAAGAGTACGATTTGCTGATCACACTGGAGAACTGACTGCTCGTCTCCCGGTAAAAGTTCTGGAAGAAACACTGGGACTTTCTGTATGTATTTTTAACTAACATGAAAAGCAATAATTACCCTACTACGTTTTTGTGCCTACATCTTTTCTAGATATCGTTATAATTATAATAATTTGTCTATAAGATAATTATTACTTAAGTAATTATATTAGGTTTATACCCATACAATTTATTACCCAGTTATTGTAAAAACAATCGCATACAAGACGGCAATTTCATAGGGAAGGACCTGATTTCGGTACCAACTGGTTAAATCAATTTTTAAAGATTTGAAACAGAAATTCACCCACACCACCATCACCAGGTGAACGTCATTTACCACTGAATATTATGGAAGAAAACCTTACAGCTGAGTCGCGTTTCCTTCTAATTCTAGTCCGAAATCGCAAGCAACATTTGTTTTTTTTTGTACAAGTAAGGATTGCAAACGAGAACACAGTTTACCTGATGGTAAAGTAGATGTTTTCGCCCATGGTTGCACACCTACATCTATCCTTGATTAAAAATCGAAATGTCCTTAGAACTAAGATGGATGCGTCGTTACCAGTAAAAAGTCATCGGTTCTCAAAGTCAGTCATTGGAACGTTATCATTAAATATTTAACGTGTTATATATTACATTTAGAAGAAGCCCTTCAAGCCTTCAAACAAAGTAATTTTTTTTTCTTTGGTTATAGACTCGTACAGTTATACTTTTGCCAGTGTCAAAGAACAAGAAATTGTCTTCTAGAATATGTATTTTATGAAACTTCTTCATAATGTGTTGTTGCGTCATATTGTCAAGTCTTTGAGATATTTTGACGGCAGCTTAACCCCGAGGAATCGAACATTCGATGATATAGTCATATCTAGTATCTCAAGCAGTTCTTAAGGCGAAGTTTATGAAAATTTTTCTTAAGAAAGCGTATTTCTTTCGCAGTGTTCTAACGCTAAATTCCATTGACTCATTTATGAGAGATTAAAAGTTTTAATTTGCAATGATTCGATCGCTGCTCGTTAGCAATTCGATAAACATCTAATAAACATAAAATCGAAATTTAAAGGACTTATATCACGTGCTTACCAACTGCATGACTAAAATATAAAATCATAAAACTATTCCAATTGGACAGTTCACTCCTCCGCCTTGAATAGTTTTCTGTGAAGGCAGCGTGGCGCGGCGGACTCTTTCTTGTTATTTATTGACTGTTTACTTGTTTAGTATGCTTATTTAATTTGCAGTATATTCGGTATTAAAATATTTATTCTATTACGTAATAAGGCAGAACAAATGAAGACAATGCTAGCCGAAGATAGATCTGCTATTCGCTGGAGAGTGTTACTTGAACAGTGCAGTGCTAAGTTGGCTGTAACACCGCCACGTATCATAGTACTGTCTCTACGACGCGCTTCACCAGCTGATCCCATACCCTTATATTGAACTGAATATCTTATTAATTTTATGTTGTTTTAAGTCTTATTAATTTCGTAAATAAATGAACATTTTCTTGAAAAGATTTTTTTTCTTTAGAATACTGTCCGATCTTCATGCACAGGGTATTTTCATAGTTTTGACTAAGGACCTTTGTCAATACCACTTTTAACTGATTTTTGCGGTCAGAAGTAGTTTTGACTAAGGCCGTTGGTCAAATCCACTTTTAAGTGCAAAAATACTGGGTAATAGTGATTTTGACCAAATTACATCGGTTAAAGTGGTTTTGAGCAACAATGTTAGTCAAAACTTCTTTTGACTTATACTTTTTGAATTTCCGAAATTGAAAAGTTCAATTCTTTCAATATTATATTTTATATTATTATAATGTACGCGGCTTTAACCAGCCACACCTTAACCTGCGAGTTTTGACCGATAGTCTGAAGTTTAAATCAGACAATACCACTTTTGACTAAGAAACATTGGTTAAAAACGAAACCCACGGGATAATATGGAGTACAGTACAGCCAACGAGAAGCGACACTAAATATAAACAAAACCAATGCAAGGTTATTAGGAATAGCAGGGGTGCGTAACTTTTTGATAGTTAGATTATATATCTAAGTAGACAATATAGTTTTAAAAATGTCTAGCAAACCAAAAAAATTGACTTTTGTTGGTTTGCTAGACATTAAATAATAAATAATACATAAAAAAATAGAATTTTTCTTTTATTTGAATTATTGTATAATGTAGATTTAAATTAAATAACGAGAATAATAATAATGTTTCTGAATATCGCTTGCTAAAACCACTTTGTGCCCGGTGTATGGTAACAGGCTTGCCCCCTGTTACATAGGGACTTAAATATATCAGGCAAAATGTGGGTGTTAATATCTTTGGCTACCCCTTAGAGGATATAGTACTGATGACATGTTATGTTATGTTTATGGAAATGAGCATAAAAATATTTTTTGAGGAAATCATTGTTTATTCAGTCAGACGCCAATTTTTCTGAGTCTGTAGAGTCAGAATCAGAGTCTGCAACACGTATAATAAATTTATCCGTTTAAGTTTTTCAAACTTGATTTTATTCTAGACAATAAAATCAAGTTTGAAAACTTATCTTCTTCTTATTTAACATGCTCCACACATTTCTTCCGCCGATCAGGCATGACTTTCGCCATACCGTCACTTAATAATGCCTTAACTATTTTCAAATTTAAACGTAGTATTGTTTCTAGCTACGTGCCCCTTTACATCAACCCAAATCAACTCAACGGGGTTTAATTCACAATGATAAGGGGAAAGTCTTAGGCCAAGTTTGTTTAAAATATTTGTAGGTATTAATAACCATATTTTAAGATAACTTAAAAGTACACTCCGAACAAAGAAGATACTGACCTCTATAGAAGAGACAAGGGAAATAGCAACAGGAGATGGGGCAGCAGCATCTTCTTGATAACAACTCAAAGTAATAATAACTGCGGTTAGCAATCCGCATGCATGGCAACTATGGCAAAATCTCCCTTATGAAGCAATGCATGGGCGGTCTATGTTCAGCTGTAAAATTTTTAAGCTGTAATGGAAGGTTTATTACAATCTCAATGTCGTAACTTATTTGCATGTTGGCAAACTTTACAACTTTACATATCCTCGATTTTTTATGTGTTCCATCTTTCCTCGCGCAGAGTGATTTCGTGAAGAGGGACGGAAGTGTATTAACAGGCCGGGGCAGCGCTCGCAATTTGATTTGCTCAATGAGCGCGCGCGATGGTAGCATAGTGTGCTGTGTTGTTATATTATAAACTAATTTATATGTATACTATAGAGGGGTTAATATATATATTTAATGTTGACAATAAGTGTCTGAAAAAAGTGCAGATCATTGATGAAAAATGCAAGTGAGTAATCTATAGCTATACAAATAAATAAAATTGAAGTGTCTGTTTGTAATGTCAAAATAACAGCTTTTTACTAATGCATATGAAATTATATACGGTACTTATAACAAAAACACAATTTTTAAAATTTTTGTCTGTCTGTCTTTCTGTCTGTCTGTCTACCTGTTTGTCCCGTCTAATCTCCGAAACGGCTGCACCGATTTTGACCGGACTTCCACTAGCAGATAGCTGATGTTATAAGAAGTAACTTAGGCTACTTTTATTTTAGAAAAAGAATTAGAGTTCCGGGCAAAACATTAAAACACATGAAATCCAATTGTAACAATTTACGCGCGGGCGAAGTCGCGGGGAACAGCTAGTAAATAAATAAATTGAAATGTCTGTAATGTCAAAATACCAGCTTTTTACTAAATATAGATGTATAAATATACATAACTATTGCAGTACTGATTTCTTGCAAATCAACCTCCATTTTCTGAGGTAGAGATTTGGTAGAGCCATGCTGCAGCTATGTTGGTAGTATAGTTGGAGCACGAATGGGTCGGCTCGACCGGGGAAGGACCACGCTCTCACAGAATACCAGCGTAAAATAGCAGCTTAATGCGGCTGTGTTTCGTACGGTGAGTGTAGAGAACCGGAGACCCTTTTTACTGGAAAAGAGGCATTCCATCTTAGTCCTCATGGGTGACAACGCATCTGCATTTTGATTTGTAATCGATGATAGATGTAGATGTCTATGGGCCATATCAATCACTTACCATCAGGTGGACTGTGTGCTCGTTTGTCACCCTATCCTATAAAAAAATGTTTCAGCAGCTTTTATGTGGTAGAGTCACGCTGTAGCTATATTATGGTTGTAGCACCAATGGTTCGGCTCAACTGGAGTAGGACTACGTTCTCATAAAATACCAGTTTAAAATAGCAACTTAATGCTGCTGTGTTTCGTATGGTGAGTGTAGAGAACCAGAGATCCTTTCTACTGGAAACGAAGCATTCTATTCCTCAGGGGTGACAACGCATCTGCGTTTTGATTTTTAATCGAGTTTAAATGTATATGTCTATGAGCCACAGCATCCACTTAAAATCAGACTGTGTGCTCGATAGTCACCCTTATTCGCTCGCCCAGACACCATTCACCGAGCGGTTCGCCCAAGCGCCCCGTACCCGTATGAACTTGAATCCATTAGAGCGACATGGTTACAAGTAGCGCGTGTTTTGTCCATAGAGTATATTCGTCCAAGATATGATCACTATATTTTAGGTTGGACGTAGTGTTCCTGCTCCACAGAGTACTTTTTATAAACCGCAAACCTGCTCACTTCCTTTTCCAGACCGTGCCGCCACTCGCTTATAGCTCGGATTCGATTCGTAAGAAGTGTTCGTTAACACATTAGATGTGGTTACTTCGGTCAGGGTCCGTGAATATTGTTATCCGAACTAGATTTTCGCCTTCGTAAAGCGAAATTCGGATGTAGTACGCAACCCCCTCATACAAAATAGTACTACTGCTACTTCGGATCAACGTTTGTCGGATTCGGATCGGATTCAGTGCGCAAACGCTCTTATTTTATACTAAAAATGTAAGAATTTCAGTAGAAAAGAATTATCCTTAGCTTATATTTTATGCTATTTGCAAAAAAATTGTTTATTATTAAATTAACCTATTCATGTTACGTTACAATATTGTACAAGAATTAGTTGTAAATTACAGAATTATTAAATTTATTTTCAATTTTCTGAGCGCGATATAAGAGATCTGATATCCCGTGAACAATTACCAGTTTAACCTAATGAAACCCTGGTTACGGTATTATTGATCTAACGGCAACTAAATCAACATTTTGAAAACATGGACAAATCAGAAAAAAATGAAATCACATACGAATACACAAAACGTAGAAGGGAATTTGGAAAACAAACCCTATTTGAAGATTATGGTCCAGAAATGTGTGTCAGTATTCCCTGTAATCCAAACTATTATAAAAATTACATACTACGGAATCCTGTGCATGTTGCCATACAAAATACTTCAACCATGTCGGAGCATTGGGTCAATTCAGTAAGGTATAGTTTTTCAGTAGCCTTTTTATCACAATTTGTATTCAAAAAATAAAGATTATAAGCAGTCAAATCGATTTTAACATATTACATAAAATCGATTAAGGGATATTTTACATTCTTTACAGCTTAGCAGGTTTTGATTCTCGTTTACACTTTTGTGTATTTTACGCTGCAGTCATTTTACATTTTGCACTTTTACCCAAAAAAAAGTTTGCAAATACATAAAAGTGTTTTATTTTGTATCCGTTTGTATTTATTCGTCGCGGATGTTTACTTGTTTATGTATGTTCACCGGTTTTTTGGAAAATTCTATAAATAGGATGTACTTGAAGGATGGTCCCATATAAATTTTAAGAAATGTTTCGTTCCTTAGTGTGTGTATATGTTTATATGATTATAATAAAATTTATTAATTTCATTCATTTCATTTTCATTCACTGTCAGTCTAACCTAAACCTAAAGTTTTCGAGATGTATTAAGAACCTATGACAATATTATGTAGGTACAATGAATTCATGATTATGATCCAGCATCCAACATATCACACGTCTTGTTTCAGTTTTGTTTTAGTCTAATATTATTTTGTCACTATAAAGCTATGACAGCAATCTCGCAATCAACCTGCTATATTCGGAGTTCGGACTTCGATAGTCATCTCGTAACAAAACAATTCAGGTAAGTTGCTTTAGCTTATGGATGAAAAATAATGCTTCAAATTCTATTCTAATTAACCATAACTGTGAATTAACTATTGCTCGTCTGACTGCTGGACACAGGCCTCCTTTCATATCTGAGGATTACGGAGCTACTAGCTCTAGTGCATTTTGACGAACTCAACATTTTTATTCTTCAAACGTACAGATTTCCTCAGTCGAGCGGGTTGTAAATCTGTAAGTACTTATAATTGCTATCACATTTACCATTTCATTGTTGCCGGCGTCGATCAAACCCGGACTGCTCGCAATCTGCGAAAATTACAGCCTGCGCTTAGTTACCATCTACCACGACTCTTCTTTTCTCTTACTCTCTAAAGAGGGCAGAATGAGAGCCCTTAATAATTTTGAAGAATACCAACTCAATCCGTTAAAACAAACTGGTACACACTTTACCCATAGAAACATAATAGTAAACATCGCATAGTAAACAATAATTATTAACAGTATTCGAACTATTGGTACAAAACAATAAATTACTACTATTTTATATTATTACCTGTGGTAATAGAGACTATTACTACAATGATGTAGTATGAAATGCCTATATTTAACAGAGTTCTTGTAAAGGGCTGTAATGACGATGATGATTAAGTAGGTACTACATTGGACTGCTTTCCACCAAATGTCTCACCCATCTTTTGACTAATTATCGCTCCTACACGCACTCCTATAGATGTTTTTAACAATGACAACGCTTGGAAGTACTTACATCATTTTATAAGGAGTAACATTTTTCGTTGGCCCCAATGTAAAAAATAAGAGAGAAAAACGAGCATGCGGTTCTCCTGATGGTAAGTGATGAGATGAAAGAGGTGAAGAACCGCAACACCAGGGCAATTGCAGGTGCGTTGTCGACCTTTTGAAAAAGAGTATGTTCCTTTCTTGAAGGTCCCTAAGCCGAATCGGTATGGAAAAACGCTGGTAGTAACAGATTCCACAAGGAAGTTGTGCGAGGAAAACAACTTCTAGTAAATACACAGTGCGATTGTACTGCCAATCTTCTAGATGGTATGGATGGAATCGTGAGATTTGTCGCGATGTGCGATGATAAAATTTAGCGACAGGAGTGGGTCCGGACAATTCCTTTGAGTCTCCCAAAGAGGGTCGGCTCGAGGCCTCGCATCCTTTCAAAGTCCACTATTGAACACATAGGACTATCCCATAGATTGTCTCATATATTTACCTTAGTATACCACGCTTGGTAAGTGCATTGGAAACCGCAGTTTTTTTTTAAATTATAATAAGTTATTATCAGTAAAATCGTGTTGCCCATCTCCTATTTCATTTCCCTTTATCGCCTCCTACGACAAACATGGGATGATATGGAGTAGGCAATAGAAACAGAAACAGAAACAGAAACTTTTTTATTCAATATAGATTATAAATAATACTTATTGAAAGTCACTCTTTTGTTTGATTACCACTGGTTCGGAAAAAACCTCTGTCCTGGGAAGAACCAGCAAGAAACCCAGCGGGACTTTTTTTTTAAATAACAGCTTACAATCATGATGTTACACAAATTAACAACACAACAAATTAGAAATAGCTTGGTAGCGATCATCTCATTTCCAGGGGTTATTATCATCCATAAATTCCTTAATATTATAATAACCCTTTTTATACAAACTTAGTTTAATAAAGTTTTTGAACTTTGAACAAGTCAAACTTTGTATATTTTCTGGAATTTTGTTGTAAAAGCGTATACATCGCCCCAAGAATGAATTACTGACTCGATGGAGTCGAGTAACTGGTACTACTAGCTTGTGTCTGTTCCTAGTATTTACAGAATGAATATCACTTATTTTTGTAAAACTACTTTTATTTTTGTGTACGTACATTACATTTTCATAAATGTATTGAGAGGCCAAAGTTAATATATTAATTTCCTTAAATTTTTGTCGCAGCGTCTCTTTAGGCTTTAAATCATAAATTGCTCTTATGGCCCTCTTCTGCAAAACAAATATAATTTCAGTGTCAGCTGCGTGTCCCCATAGCAAAATACCATACGACATTATGCTATGGAAGTAGCTGAAGTAAACTAGCCTAGCTGTTTCAACACTGGTTAAACTTCTAATCTTTTTTACAGCATATGCTGCAGAACTAAGTCTGCTTGCTAGTTTTGATATATGGGGGCTCCATTGAAGCTTCGCGTCTAGTGTGATTCCAAGAAAAATGGTGGTATCTACAAGACTCAGTTTCTCCCCATTTAAAATTACATTAGTATTTAATTGTTTGACATTTGGAGTCACGAATTTCATACATTTTGTTTTAGTGCCATTTAAATGCAAATTATTAACATCGAACCAATTTACTAATTTAGAGATAGCATTATTTACTTCGTCATATTTTAGTAACTGTCGACTTAATTTGAATTATTTTATTAATTGATTAGATAGATTATCTTATGCTGCCGCTTCATGGCAATTTGACTGTTTAATTCAGTTTAATTGAGACGAAATATTTTTTATTATATGTACATACAAATAAAAAAGTGCGTAGGTAAGTGTTTGCCACGTCTTATGTATATGTATGTATAATTCACCTGGAAGTGTTATTATAAGCATCAATGGAATTACAAGAACATGTTCTCTACTATTTTATATTTGATGCAGTTGCATAGTTGGAGCTGCTCGGAGTGTGGACCGGACTGAAAATCAATGAATGAATAACTGAATAATTAAGCCAGTCTATATCGTGGTCATAAATTATGGTATAAAAATTGTTATTCAATACTGCGATCAATTTTATATAGTAGGTCAGTCTAGTATTATTTTGGATTTCAGAGCGGAATATACAAATTCTGGTATTAATCATATAGAAGGTGGTTGGCCTAAAGATATCAACATGAACGATCCCGAAGCCACGCAGAGATACCGACGCAAAATTGAAAAAGATGACGCTTATATTCATGCCGTTATGCATCTTGGCCATGTAAGGGTCAATATATCTAAAAATATAATACTTAGACCACTCAGAAATTTGTACGAAACCAAAAAAAGTTCTATGGTTAAAGTTTTTATTATTAAATCTTTACAAAGAATTCTTAGCGTATAGTACTAAGTTTTATGCGTATAAACCAGGTTTCGCAACACTCCAGCCTGCCTCAGACAACTCTACTACGGCCTGTTCGAACGCTGCTAGAGTATTTTTTAGTGTTAAAAACTTTACCCCTTTCCAAATTCAAAAGCCAAATCAGGGCTATACAGATGGTGAACCAAAAGCTTAAGCGGTGTACTGTACAGAACCTCGTTTTGAGCGCCGTGTGCGCGGGCGCGTTATCATGGTGAAGTATCAGGCCGCGGAGCTCTGTGTTCTGTAGCTTATTGTCGGCAGCAGTGAATACTTCTAGAAAGCATTTGGTAGTATATAATTCGCCATTGTAACAACTTCAAATTTGTAAAGGAATTGGCACTTTAATCACCCGTCAAAAATTAAACGTTAGCGTTCAAAATCTTCCTTGAACTTTGAAGAATGAACCAATGAACCTTATGGCATTATGACTAAACATGCAAAGACTAACCAGCTTCAAAATAAAAAAAAATTGAAATTGTAACATTCTTGAATATTTTTTCTTGTTTAAGTATAATCATATTTTCAAAATAAATTATAACTAGCTGAGTGGCCCATCCTAGATCAATAGAATTTATTGCAATTTATTTTGAAAACGTTACAGAGCATGGAGCACAATATTTTGCAAAACAATGCAGTAGACATGTATCAAATATACTATTCGGAACTTCCAACGATTCCACCGGTAGAAAAGAGCAGCTGCCATACTGTGAACGTGTATAGAGAACCCGGCACTAGGAGGCCAGTAAGAGCTCTCTCATGGCAGACTGATGGTGGAGCTAGACTGGCAGCGGCACACGCTGATGTTGATTTTATGAGAAACAACAGAACGTTGCAATTCTCATACATTTGGGATATAGGTAGGTAACTATGGTCTTCCATTCGATGTATTACCTAATACGGCAAAATTGAGCTTAATTCTTTTTGGCAGAAAATGCTAACGCACCAGAGCTAAAAATAAAGCCGCCCCAACCATTGCTGGATTTGCAGTACAACCCACGCGATCAACATACACTTGTTGGCGGTATGATGAATGGGCAGGTATATTTCAAAAAAGGTCTTTTAACAGTAGGACATATTGTAAAAATATTGATGTGTTGGTGTTTCTAGGTAGGCTGGTGGGACACTCGTAAAGGTGGCGATCCGGTTGGACTTTGCCCACCGCACATGGCTCATCGCGATCTCGTGCGTAACGTTTTGTTCATAAATTCGAAAACTGGTGCAGAATTTTTTTCCTCGTCTCCTGACGGTGTTGTTAAATGGTAAGTCATTATATTTACAAAATGTGTGGTTTCCTCCTGGTAAGCCACCTCCGCCGCAATTTAAAGTTACAGCCTACTCTCACTACTGGTCACAGGCCTGTGTTGGCGAACTTCACATGTCTTTGAAATATATTTTATCTTATTTTTCAAACATGCAAGTTTCTTCGCGATGTTTTCCTTCACAGCCGAGCACGTGGTAAATCAGCACTTAAAATTGCAATTGACAATTTAATTGGTGCCGGCGGCGATCGAACCCGGGTTGCTCGCATACTGTGAAACTTACCTTAAAATAAAGATTCTGACTCAGATCACATTTGTATGATGTTTGAAGTTTATTGAGCATTTTTGACAGTCTGTAAGATAATGTCTAGGTATGTACTATTAACCACTTGCAGGCTTTGTCTAACACGTAAATATTAATTACCACTATGTTACACTACCCGTCCCCAGCGTAATGCCTGCGAAAAGACCGAAGATAGTCTCGGACTCATTGTCAGAGACATGAGCAGTGGGCACAAACAAACCCAAACACCTACACTCGATCCTTGTAAGCACATAAAAAAGGCCAATAAAGTTAAAAGTTTCCTGCGACTTATATGAAACCACTGTGAAATTAAAAACGAGCTAATTAAGTATAAAAAATCCATTCATGCTACTGTTAACCTCCTGCTTTCTGGAATAAAACAGTTTGAAGAGGAACTTAAAACGGATTTAATAGTATCTATAATTGTTGTGTCTTCTACCTACTAAGGGTTTTAAAGGAACCACAGAATTAGCTTGTATAAAATGTATAAAAATATTAATTATGGCGTTTTAGGTGGGATACACGAAACATGAGCGAGCCTACCGATTCCATGATAATTGATCTAGTAAAATTACCGACCGACGCACAGAATATGGAAAAGGCTTTAGGGATCTCTGCTTTAGAATATGAACCAACCATACCGACTAGGTAAATACGAATAATGCCTTTCGTTATTTGTTTAAATGTTTACAAGTAAAGCCTGTAAATATTTTTATATGAATACCTTTATCTGTAGGTAAGTCATGGTAGCTATTTTCGATATTTTGTGTTAAATCCTATGATCCAATTTAATGAAGAGCTAATTTAATAGAGTCTTGGTCTTTTTGAATAGACGACGATAAACCTGTTTTTCTTCATATCAAATGTATTGTTAAAATTTTAGTACCACATAAGCGATGTTAACTTCCAAATGAACCTGGGTCGACTGGTAGAGTACCTTTAGGCATTAACTCCGCCCTTTGTATCCTTTAAGGAATGCAATAAAGATTTTAAAATAAAAAAATAAAATAATACATACAGTATGGTAACTCCAGCGGTGCGGATGAAAATACGACTGATGCAAAATTCTGAAAATCATTTCATTATTTTTATATTATTTCAACAACAATATTAATATTGTCGATCGTCTAGTTTGATTCTAGGGGCATTTTATCGTTAAAAGTACCTGCACGATACGATTATATATATATATATATTTTTTTATAGGATAAGGGTGACAAACGAGCACACAGTCCACCTGATGGTAAGTGGTTGCTGTGGCCCATAGACATCTACATCTATCCTCGATTACAAATCAATATGTACCTAGATGCGTTGTCACCCGTGAGGACTAAGATGGAATGCCTCATTTCCAGTAAAAAGGGCCTCCGGACACCTGCACTCACCAAGCGAAACGCAGAGGTAAACCTCTACTTCACGCTGGTTTTCTGTGAGGTCGTGGTACCACCCCGGTTCGAGCCGGCCCATCCGTGCGACAGCAAAAGCTGCCGCGTGGTTCTACCACTGTTAAAATACTGTTATGTATATACATAAAATTTAGTAAATTACATACTTGTTATCAATTTATAATATTTATAGATTCATGGTGGGAACGGAAACCGGTCTAGTAATCGGAGCAAATCGTAAAGGAAAAACACCGATAGAGAAGCTACCTTCTAAAGTAAGTAATTAAATACATTAGTAAGTATGTTTTTTATCTATTATAAATAATTTCTCCTTTATAGTATGAAGCTCATCTTGGACCAGTTTATGCTCTTCAACGGAATCCGACCTTTTTGAAAAATTTTCTGACTGTAGGAGATTGGACTGCTCGTGTATGGAGTGAAGACTGTCGAGAATCATCAATTCTATGGACTTATTCTCACCGAACAAAACTTACGGATGGCGCATGGAATCCTATCAGGTAGTTTTAAATAGTATCATTGTAAGTCAATCACTGATGAATATAATGAATATAAATCTCTCTTATAATGTGGAGATTTTAATGTAATCACCTTACTTGTCAAGAGCTCACTGCTCTGCCTTGTTGGTCTAGTGGTTGTAAACGCGACTGAGGTCCCGGGTTCGAATCGGGCCGAAAAAATTCGGTTATTGAGTTTTTCCCGTCAAGAAATTCTCTGTTGCTGCCCGGGGTCAGGGAGTTGGCGGTGTCTCACCCCCGTACCTCAGAACGCACGTAAAGCGGTTGGTCGTGCGCTTGATCTCTCTCTGGTCCTGTCGGTTTACCGTCCCATCAGTCTATGAGAGTGAGGGAATAGAGAGTGCACCTGTGCTTGCGCATACACTTGGGCACTATAATCCTGTCCTGCACCGATAGCTAGACTTCGATGGCCTCCGTGACCGAAATTCGGTCTGGAGGGCGTTATTATTACTTGGCAGGAGAATTCATGATCGCAGGCGGCCGTACCATAGAGCTGCTCCCTTTCGTCAGACAGTATGGATTGCACTTTTTCAACTCAAAACTTTAATCCGCCGAACTAAATATCCTTGAAGACGGCAACAATCCTGGCTCCTGACTCTCATTCTACCTCTGGATAAACTGACGAACATTGGTACGATAGTGTATGACCAGTCCTTATCCAGAACGGTGGTAGTGTCATAAAAATGTTGGAATCAATTAAGCGACAGGTGTGTGCGGGCTTTGACGACAGTAGTGTAGTTGTACCACTTCTAGACCACCTGAGTCAGACGTGGTTCAACGACGTTCGTCGACACACGATCCTAAAAAAAAAAAAAAGTTTTGGCATGCTCTGATCACGAATCCGCGGTCCATTTTTGTGTAGAATGCACGGTTCCGGAGATGTGTAGATCAATTAGCTAATATCTAATTGATATCCGGTAAGGGCCTCCACCGTCATTAGCGTCCCTTTGTTCCTATTTCTATTGTTCTATTGTTCATTAATCACCTTCATTGCAGCGTGTGCGTCGACTATATCAGTGCTATTGTATTGTACTTCTTTGTTCCTAATTATACAACGCTAATCTGAATCATCAATAACACACATTACATAATTTTGTTACAATTTTTATTTATAAAATACAAAATCTTATTACTTATTATCTATAAAATAGGAGCGAAACATCTCATCCACTAAAATATCGTTGTACAGTGTGTTCCTTGTAAATATACTCGTAAAACTATGTAATGAACATCCTTGAAACTTATATAGCAAATACATTAAGCAATATTCGCCACAAACTGAAGTCCACTCATTCTGAATCCTATCAACATTCCAGTTCCATCTTTTACAATTCCTTTTTAAAAACTCTACATGATATCGTACAGGTGATCGTCCATATGAATCAAAATATTGACCGACGTCATTCGTATCGATATATAAAGCTACCCAATGTGACCCTGGTTTATCATCTGTATCCAAATTACATATTATATACGTTGGTACGTGGGTATACATAGGCAGTCTATTAGCTGCATAAACATTATTTTCTAGACTGGGGTGAATCTTTTTCAGATGTTGTTGTACATCTAGTGTATCCATGATATTACTGCTATTAGTAGATTATTACAGTACCAATCTACTCAATGAATAACATAGGAATGGTCAATTATAGTGATTTCTAAATATTAAATTGCATTTTTGTGTTATACAAATCGTACTTGAGTCATTGATCACCAAACAAAACACAATACGAAGAAATGTTGAGATAGGCAACGGAAATGTGAGATAAACTGATATGTTTCTAAATATTAAATTGCATTTTTGTGTTATACAAATCGTACTTGAGTCATTGATCACCAAACAAAACACAATACGAAGAAATGTTGAGATAGACAACGGAAATGTGAGATAAACTGGTTGACGCATAAAGTAATTATCAACTCATTACGGAAATACTTTAGATTAGAATTTTTACGTACTGGTGGTATATAAGACCAACAGACGCAGTCATCGAGTTAGTGTACGGTCGTTTGACTACAGTGGATCTATCAATAGTACATTTGTGTTACTTCAATACACCAAAGGCTATGGATGTAAGTGTTTATTCTATTGACTAAATTACTTTTTTTCTGTTATTTTCATGTGTGTGTATTATTTTATTTAAATATTGTGTATGTATATGATTAAGCCGTGGTAACTCAGATGGTTAGCGCTAGCTGTAAATTTCACAGTACGCGACCCGGGTTCGATCCCCGCCAGCACCAATTAAATTGTTAATCGCAATTTTAAGTGCTTATTACCACGTGCTTGGTGGTGAAGGAAAACATCGTGAGGAAACCTGCATGTCTGAGAAAATTTCGAAGGCATGTGAAGTTCGCCAACACACATTGAGGGAGCGCGGCGGACATTTCCTTGCTCTAAAACCCTCTCAGAAATGAGAGGAGGCCTATGTTCAGCAGTGGACTTTAATAGGCTGTAACTTTAACTTTTTTAACTTTTATGATTAAGTGTTAACAAATTGATATTAACATGATAACTGTGTTGTTGCAGAAATCATTGAGCTTCGATGAAGATACCTATAAACAGTATTACTACTCGCCACTCTCCCCTCAAGAAGAGAGTGATAACCTCGTCATTAATAATAACACATGCGATGGTGGAAAAAGAAAATCGCAATCGATTGATCATTTTTTTGAAGCTGAATCAAAAATAAAAAAGAGGAAGCTGTTATCATCAACCGTAGCACGAGCCGCTAGAGATGGTGTATCATACATTTCTACTAATTCTGACGACGGAGACCAAGCGACGCATCTCATCAAAATTGAAATGTACGATATGAAGAAGCTATCCAAGATTCCAACTACTGATCATTGGAAACATGCTTCCACGAGAATTAAATATTACGTAAAGACTAATAAGGATAGCATCTACGACAACACAAACGCCCTCGTATACAATATAACAAAGACAATAGCAGAAAGTGAAAAAGTTAAAAAATACTTTTTTAACAATGACAGTCATTAGCTGATCATTAGTGAATGTGATTCTGTTTACTTCAATTACAGGAAGACAAGAGCGGAAGGAAGAGATGAGTGTGGCATACGTGTACAAAACACATCATTGCATAACAAAACTACAACACTGAGTGGAGAAGAAAACGAGAAGAGTATGCAGTACTCAAGAGCTGAATATCCATTCTTCAGTTCAAAATCTAGCCGTTTGCTTAGTTTCGAAAACTGGCCTCTCGTTATGCGACAGAAACCTGAAGATCTTGCAGAAGCTGGTTTCTTTTATACTGGCCATGCAGACGGGACCAAGTGTTTCCATTGTGGTGGTGGTTTAAAAGATTGGGAAGATGATGATGATCCTTGGCAGCAGCATGTTCAGTGGTTTAGTCAGTGTGCTTATGTAAAATTTCAACTCGAACAGTGTTTTGTATTAGATTAAATAGAAGATTTATAAAGAAATAAAAAAAAATATATTGCATACAATTTGTTTTATTTAATTTTATAACGTTTCACATAGTTACATACACACAAAATGCATTACACATAACACATAAAATCTAACACACAACACATATTATAACCTTAACTACTATAGTCTACAGTAACATTTCTGTTTTTATCTATCTCAATAATATTATCAAACTCAGCATAAACTATACAGTTAATTGTTTGTATTAATGAGGATTCAAATCGTACTTCTATTCTTACACTACCATGCTTTATGAGATTCCAATAAGTTGATGAGTTAGCTGATAAATCAGGAGTTAAGTCAAATGCTAATAGACAGTAACCTTTGCCATACTGTTCACAAGAGATTCCATTTCCTTCATTAAGAAAGTGAATACCAGTTCCCGAGAATAGAGTATGATATGCTGATGTAAATATGCTATTATTAAAAGATGGTTGCAAAGCTTTTGAAGGTATTTGTTGACCATCAATATATAAGCTGAAAGAATTAATACCATAGTTTTCAAAGTTAAATGGATTTTTAGTAAGGGAACCATTAAATGCAGAATTGTTCACAAATCCAATTATACATCTTTTCGGTACCTGTCCTAAAAATATATTATCAAGAGTTTTTCCTTGAACACCCGAAGGAATTGTTAAAACTTTTACTTCAGCTCGAGTAATAGGATATTTAGCAGTGGTAGAAGCTAAAACTTTTTGATGTGCGAGTAATACACTTGGATTAATTCGTGCTCGTCGAACAATAAGAGTTGCGTCCGTAATACAAACTTTAAACTTTACATCGTTTGATCCAACAATTAAATTAAAACTCTCTCTTGATCGAACCAATTTAACACTCATTTCAACACCATTAATTAAAAATTTATCTTGGTTAAAAATGTCACCGTGAAGATGACCAATCATTTCTATTTCCTTACTTTCACTAATCAATTCCTGTCTTTTAACAAATCCTATGTTTTTACCATCTGTAGAATCCATTTTTCCTGCTGTATCCTCATACCAAAGACTACAAGTAAGATGAGATTGTTTAGCAGCAGGGGCATAGTTTAAAAGGGTTTCCATGTATGCTCGATATGCATAGGTATTATTAGGTGGTGATACAAGTTTTTGGTTTAAATAAACATCAAGTTGACTAAAAAGTGAATGCAGCCAATTATTTACAGGTGCTACTATTGTAGTAGATACCAAGTTAGTTGAATCTTGATTTAATACTTTTGCCTTTATGTGGAGTAATGTATGAGACAAATCTATGTAGTCATCGCCGGTCCCAGGAACTTGAAACTCGATAGGTCCATCATCACCAAGAGATGAAATTGGTTTATAATGAATCCACAATCCATTTTCAATGCTAGTTTGTGTAGACGGTAGTGCAAACAAATCCAATTCTGACTTAACGCACTCGCAAGAATGATTATGAAGGAAAGACATATTTAGTTTGAAAATATATCTTTGATATTTTTTGGTTTTAGACTAAGTTTTTTCGCAGCTTTCACTTTAGCAGTTAATGGTGGAATGAACGATGTCAA